AATTGGTAGCATAATGTTGTAAAAGATTTCCAATCTTCGCTTCAGTGAACTTTTTGTCTGGAAATTTAAAATGCAAACAAAATCAAAATCTAAACGTAAGCAATAATTATAGACATCTTATAATTTTTACCAAATATATTTGGTGCATTTACTTGTGCTGATTTTATCATATCTCCAGGAGTTACTTCTTCCTCTTTTACTAATTCGTCGATAACGCGGGCAGTGTCTTTCATTGGGTCATCTTCAAATTTCTTATTGTTTTTAGTAAATTCCAAATTCATACGGTCAAAATAATGATTTAATTCAGAGTCGTCAGTGGAAATTTTATCTTGAACTGGATCGGGATTTAAAAATTCTTCATTTACAGGAGGTTTAGTGGAAGATAGTTCTCCAATCTTAATACCTAGTTGATCCGCAAATAAAGAATTTACAGGTGGTGTGAGATGTCTGGTCAGCGCTCTGTGAAAGTTAATAAAGAGTTAAAAATATTTTCAAAAATATGTTTTTTATGAATACTAGGATTACTTATAAATTGCAATACTGGAATCTTCAGAATCACATTCTATATGATCTTCGCAAGGTGTATAATGCGTTAGCAATGCTGATATTAAAGAATGACACGTATATTCAGCTCTAACTTTTGCAACTGCCTGTTAAAAAATGGAGTGTTTAAATATTAGTATATATTAGTCTAAAAACTTGGTATTTTAAGAATGCATTTTACTCACTTCCAATAAAGCCTTAATATCAATTCGTTTAGGAAGTTGTAACATGGTAGGATAAGTATTACTTGAAATTTGGCTGCTTTTAGCGTTACTTAATTTTGAATCAGTTTTAATGGCATCATTATATATAGAACATAATCTAATATTAAACAATCAACAGTAATTAATCAAATAATTAATTTTAAATAAGATTAAATTTTTACCTTAAAAGAACACAGAATATAGAATCACTTTCAGCACGATATATAAACAAAGGAATTAAGGTAAAAGCCAGCTGCTTCATATGATACATCAGCTTCAATTTTATACGCCAAAGATGTTCTCTAGTATCATTTACCTGTTTTATTGATAAAAATAAAATACTAAATTATGTAAGATAAATATTAATATTTTAGCTATTTCCAATTACCTTATAAGCCAAGACTTGATTGAAATCGTTATAAACTAACTTAGATTTCAACACTCTTGTGAACTTCAAACATTTTTCACAATTTATTGCCAAACCATCAAAATCCTAAATAAATAAAAAGTAAGATTTTATTAATCATTGTAAAGTTTATTAATAAATTTAATAAATAATATATATGTTCTTCAAAGATGCCTTGCTGTAAACATTTTTATTCAAAATCAATTTTAAGTGCAATCTTTCTGAATTATAATTTAATATTCAAAAGTTAGAAAAACAATTTGGTAGAATCATGTTCACTTGACAGCGAAAAAAATAGAAAAATAACAAATTAAAAACAATCATGACTTTGAAAAAACTAACAAGGTGCCAATTTCCATTTTTCATTTTCAACTTGTTACTACAACTAATTTATCATTTACCATTACTGATTTATTACAGATCAATGATAAGTTAATTTAAAATATTATTTAGTTCACTTACTTGTAGTTCGATAGTTGATCCTACCATATTAGCATTATTAAATTGGAACTCCAACTTATTAGCCAAAATATATTGAAGTTCATACATTATCCCATTGAAGACATCACAGATAGAGTTCATCCTCTTGCGTAATATTTGATATTGAATAAAAAGTGGGACAAACTTCTCGTACTCATTAATTTTGGTGATTTCCCTTGCAAAATCGTTATCATGAAAAATCGGTTTTGTAAACTCTTTCTTTTCTGATTTGGAAGACATCGTGCCCACCATCAACCGATCCATTTACCAAGAATAATTTTCACAGTGTGGTCATTTTAATATTATGCCTCTTCTCAGATTTTGTGGTAAATACTGATGTTCTTCTTAGTCGTTTTGGCACATTAAGCACTTTTATACACCGTTCTATTAACACTGAATCTCATTTTTAGGCTTATTCTAGGAATAATCGACCATTACATTATCACAAAGAAACTTCATTGCGGAAAACGCACGACCTCACCATCCTAATGATGGGTGAAAAGTAATATTGAATTCGATTTTGCTTGGCCTTCAGAGTTTAATGGTAGCAACACGTACCGGCACCAGAAACCATGTGAAAATAATCAATATTTCGCATACAAAGATCCAGGTTAAACGTTGAAATGGTATATTTCATAAAGGAATACGATTTGCTTTTCAAAATTCCTCAAAAATTTCAGTAGAACTCATTTTAAGCAGGCTACTAATTTATAGAAATGGTGGCATGCTTAATGCCTAGATAAATTTTTTTATTCTTTTTATACTAATAATATACTCTGTTTTGTTATACAGATGTCCTCTATAAAATCATTCAAAATTCTACCACAAATCATATAATTTAATATGTTTATTAAAGATGACTGTATTCTCCCAGTTTTCTAAATTATTCACTTCAATCAAAGCATTCTCTAAGACTACTTAGTTCGAATATAAAGTATTCGTGGAAGCAATCTGATTTACCTCAAGAATATTTGATAAAAGTTTAAATATAATTTAAAGCGAGCATTAAACGAGAAGCCCAATTTGAATTTTTCTAATTCATTCTATAATGCTTCTTATATTCAACATTAAAAATGCCATAACAATAATGCAAATCAGCTGGAATAGTAATTTATACAATTTTAAATACAAAATTAAGCCAGAAGATTCAATCCAAAATGATTAATTTTTTTTGAACAGCAATCAGAACTTGGCGTGTTTCAATATATTTTGATAAATATTATATTTTTGTAATATTTTTATCGATGACTATTAGAAAGCAACTATTTGGTGGTCCTGATCTATTTTGGTTATATTTTTTTAAATTATTTTTGTAGTTCAAACAAAATGACCATGGAAATTTGTAGGCATTCGCAAAGAATTATAAGGCTAACAGAATAAAGTTATAATTTTAATTATAACTTATGAACTTATGAATCATTATTTTAAGTTTTCAACTAATCTAGATTGAAGGCCAAAGCAAAAACCAGGTTAACAGCAATGCGGTTTTGATATGCATGGAACGAAATCAGCTGATGGTAGTACTGAGGTCAGATATGGCAAATCCTATTTTAAAACAATCTAATAAAAAGTATAAAATAATATATGTGCAATACTGAAAAATAAAACATTTAATTAAATATTGCAATTCACGATATTATAATAAATTAATAATAAATATTATAAAGGATACCTTGATGGTTACTCGACTTCATTAATTAATTATGTGTGAATGGCAAGTAAAAGGATAATGTAACATTTGTTCTTCTGAGTGTTTGCTGATTTTTTAATAAAAATATTTGTGACCAAAAGCAGTTCAATGTGATCAAATTATAAAATTGATCTTTCATATTTTTTTCATATAATGGATGATTCTTAAAGGTATTCAAAACACATTACGTTTTATATAAAAAGCATGTTTTAGCTTGAAGTTTCCGATTGAAAGACTAAACTTGGTGTTCAAGTCCTCTTTTCTCAATATACTAAATTATGAAATTCAGTATATTACGTTTTGATATGAATATCTACAACAGGGATAACTAAAAATAATCCCATTTTTACAAAATAAAATAAATCTCTTTTTTACAAAATTATGTAAAAATCTATATCACCACAACATAGGTTTGCTCAAGTTTAAGCTTTTGCATCCCTGTTTTACGCAAGTACATATATGATACCATTGAAACAAACAATAAAATTCCATGGAAACATCAAACAATTTGCGTGAATCAATATAATTGTCTATTAAAATTACACTTTTTGCCGCATAAGGCGTTAACGCAGAATTACTAATGTGTGTCAAGGGATGAGGGTAAAAAAATATAAAAATGCTATAAAAATTGTCTTCAAACATTATAATTTAAAAATCATTATTGAATATATCTAAGCTTTTTAAACCATTAATCGTTTATATCAAAAACGATTTATTCATCACCATTCATTTATAAAGAAAATTATATGTTTGTTAAAATATTATATGAGAAGAAAGAATATTTAAACTTCACTCTGGCAGAAAATGTATTCATACAAATCATACTAAATTTAATTAAATTAATTAAATAGACAAATTTAGATTATGTTAGAGTAAATCAGTATTCACATCAGTATTTTAAAAAGTCCTATTTACTCCAAAATAGCTAGAGTGCTTTATAATATAATAAAAAATTACGATAAATTTTATTAATGGTCTAGAAATCGACAAACAATCCATAGATAAAATAATTCAAATATACTTATCATCGAAATTCCGAAAAATAGTCCAGCGGTTCCACCAACTGACACTAAAAATAACAAAATTTCGATTCAAACAAAACTTTCAAAAATATATGAAAAGTTTGAACGAATAAAATCTTAATTATGCAGATGTAATGAAGTTAATTCGAATAGATTTTTTGTATTATCATTACTCTTCTCTAAAACAGAGTCTCCTCAAAATAAACAGATAAATTTGTTTATATTACCATGTTTGACTTTAACATGTGTTTAATTTGGCTTTTGTATTTATAATCGAAACCACATGCACATGCAGTGGAGAATAAAAACGAGGATAAATATTTCGATGGATGTTTAAATAAAACTCAGTCAACACCAAATTTGGTAAATATATTCTAAAGTTATGAAACTGTTATAATTTGGTATAGATATATATATTATATATATATATATCTATATATATCTATATATATATATATATATATTATTTTTTATTACACCTACCGACTAAATCCAATGGCGATATCATTTCGATTCGTAGGTACCTCAACACTGGCAAGTTGACCATTCGTATATTTACATAAGAGAATTTTTGACTGGATTTTTTTCTACAAATGTGAATCAAACATTTTATTTATTTAAATAAACTATTTAAATTACCTATAAACATTGAAAACTTACGGAATATCGGCATCGATTAGAACTTCATAATCAAAATCGTAGCAAGATCTTAAACAACGACATGTTATTCCTTGATCTTCAAAATTGAAACCTAAAATGAAAATTATATGAACGAATTAATAATAGCTATGAATAATATATTTCTAAATTTCTTGTTTCATTTTATATGAAGCAATTCGTATGTTACAGAGATAATAATTAGTAAATTAATTAAATTGAAAACAAAGAAAATGTAAAAAGATGTGATACACCATTTTTTCGTATCACTATTTTTTCGTAATTTGACCAATATGAAGATGCTAGAGAAATATAAATTCGAATCTAAATTATTTGGAAATTTTTGTAAATTTTTGTTATACCATTAACTATCAGTTATACCAGTAACTCATTTCTACTTACTAGGTAATTCTGATATTACTTGTAGTCCTTTGTATCCACAATAGTTCTTACGAACTGAAACAAAATATGTAACAAATTAATCATAACTTTTGTTTAAAATATAATTATTATGGCATTATACTAACATATTTCTGGCATAAGATGTGTAGTGCAATTAGCAACAGTCATTTCTAGTCTATTCATGCATTCTTGTTGACATGAATTTAAACTGTATGCTCCAAATGGTTTTAGAGGAGTTTCCACTTCATTTGGGAAACGACAAAGACGTTTTTCTGGACTTCTTCTAAACAAGGCACGATCGTTCCATATTTCTCTTGTCTTGAAAAATAATAGAACAAGACGATGGTTTGTTAGTTGAATTTAAAAGTTTTAGCAGATGTGATAACACTAGTAAAATTTAATTTTGGATGCTTTAATAAGGCTAAAATAGATGTATAGTATTTCAATAGAATAATAGGATATTCGATATCATAAAAAATATATTATTTAACATTAGAAACTTTTTTTATAGTAATTTGCAAACAAATGAGCAATTATAGGTAATTATACTTACTGTAAACACAGCTTCGTGATTTTTGTTCAGTATACTAAGTTTCAATGCAGATTCGGTATTCAACAAGGGAATCGCTTCTGGAGGTAAAATAAAAATCTGAAATTTTACTTAATTAATTTAATTATTAAACAAAATATCAACATAATAAATAAATCCTAATGCCATACCGTAGCCTTTTTCTTCAACAAAAATTTGAATGATCCTGGGCCGATTGTTCTATTAAACTTTAACAATTTATCGAAAGTTGTACCCATGCTGGGGGAATAAAATTAAATTATTCAAATTCATAATTATAGACGAAAAGGATGAAATGAATTTTAATTTTTCAATTTATACCTTACATCATACTGATTAGCGACAAAACATGGGCCAATTTGTGTTCTTTTGAACTTAAACGTATCTTGTACTGATAGCCGAGAATCCAAAAATGAAACATCTTCAATAACGTTGCTAACATTCAGTTCATAATACTGCAAAAAAATTGTCATCAATTTAAAAAAAAACTAAATTTAATCATAATCAAATTTATTCAATATATAATGAAGCAACGTAATTAAAATCGTTTAATTCAAACATAAAAATAGAAATACGTACTGCACTCATGAGTGCATCGTGATCTAGATCTTCGCATAGTTTTTCCATTGTCGTATTGTAATCACAGTTCACCCGCTTTGTAGATTCATAAACAAATTTTCCAACATTTTCTTCAATTTTACCCTTGTCTCCGCTAGTAATAAAATAATAAAAAAAATTGACATTATATAATAAAAAATGCAAATTTTCATTTTTGCATTTCGTGATTCTATAAATTTAAAATTGTAAATGAAAAGTTTAAGAGCCTATTTTATAAATCACCATGAAAGCAATTTTTAATAAAAGTAATTACTTAAATAAGTCATAAAAATTTTAAAACAACTAAACCAGATATAAAAGATCAATTTAATCGATCCATTTTCACATGGAACTATAGATCTAAATATGATCAAGTAAAAATAGTATTTCTGGACATTACTGCAAAAAATTAAAAATGTGATCAAAATTAGTAACAAACATATCACAACCAAAAAAGAAATCAATTAGGCGGCTTTTATAAAATAATGTTTGCGAAATATATTGGATATATTTGAATACCTAATCATAAGTTATAGTTTTTGTTTTATGTTATTCAATATATATACATATATATATACATATATATATATATATATATATATAAATAGATTTGGTATATTAGAAATTATTGGTATATTACAATTTTATAAATAAAAACTTACCTTGTCCTCGTACTACTAGATCCAGCAATAGGACAAACAAAAATTGCAGGAAAAGTAGTATTCCAGTCCAAGTATTGAGAATCCAGAACATAACTTATAGACTGTGAGCTGTTTTGAAGAAAACAAATTAATTTAATAAGTGAAATGTAAAAATATCCAAAAGCTTATAATTGAATTGAGTGAATATTAAATAAATTGATCCAAAAATTCAAATTATTACATAAAAATGTCGATATCATCATCCAAATTATTGCCAATTTGTATTATATCCACTGGCACTTGAAAATATAGAACAATACTATGTTTCGAACTGAGAATATAAAATAAAAACAATATTTTAAATTAAATTCTTAATAGTGATAATTTGTAATAAAATAATTAGTAATGAAATGTTTCATTCAACATACCTATAATTATTCAAAATTGATTTTGTGATACAAGCCAAACCCCACATCGATATTATGCACATAATAAACCAAAAAATTCTGGAAAAAATCGTAATAGTATAAATATATAAACAAGGAAAGATATAAACGATTCTTTGCTCTTAATTTTCTCTTTGATATTTTATAGATCAGAGTCGCTGCACCATTAATATAATAATTTCAGAATTAATAAACTTGACCAAATTTTAAAAGTAAACCGAAGCTATTTTAACTGTACCTCGTAAGCAAATAATTTTTATCACTAAGAAATCTTAAGCCATGAATGCCACTATTATTCAATAAAAAATATAAATTTTTTTTTGAGTTTGTGAGACAATTTCTTGCATCGAGTTTGCCCATATTGGGATAAACCATTTAAATTTTTACTGATTTATGTAAATAAGTTCTAAAATAATCAACCTACAATAGCCAAATAATTAAACTACAATAGTGTAATATGACATCAAACTATAATAATGTGGCATCGTGTAATCAAATCAGAGATGATAAAAATCTACATATTTTTTCCATTTTCTAAGTTGATTCAATATCACATTAAATCATAAAATAATATAAAAATTATTACAATAACATCATATTTTTCGCAATTTACATATAATAAAATATCTGCTTCAAACACATTCTTTTTTATTTTCGAAACCATTTTAACACTCAATAGTTCAATATTTTATGTTATCACAATTATAGTTTCTAGCTTTAAGTTGCATATATATATATATATATATATATATATATATAACATATGCAAAACCATACATACATACTTACATATATACAATTACAATAAAATATTTTCTCTTATACCGTTTCATATAAATCGGTTTGATTATATAGTTTTTTATATATGTTTGTTTACAATTCAATCAACACCTTTAAATAATCAACATTACACTAATTTTATATTCACTTGTTTCCACTTATCACAATTAATTATAGTCTTAATTAACCAAATTGTCAAAGATATGGTTATTACATGTATGCAGAAATATTTAAAAAATAAAAGAAAATACTTTAATGTATAAAATAATATGTATTTTGAAGTTTCCATATTCGAGTTTTAATATATATTAGCATGATTATTGCACTTCTACAAAATTTAATTACGAATACGGAATCAACAAAATAATACATAATTTTATAAAAATGATTTATAAGGACATTCAAACTTCTAATCTAATACACTGCAAACTAAAATTTTTTGTGATATAAAATAAATCTTTTAAAAATAAAAAAATCTACTAAATATATATATCAAATACAAAATATACCAATTTATATAATATATTAATTTTCATTCACCTCTCATTCTTTGCACCAGTACAAATATTTTAGATAGTTATAGATATTGGAATATCTCATACATTTTTTGGAATTCTTTTGCAATTTACACAAACTGACAATATACACACATTGCAGGGTTTTCCACACATTGTTATAATTATCAAAACTATAGTACCACTGGCATTAGTTCTCCTGAATACCTTTTTTTTCAAATATGGTTTTATAAAAATATTTTTATATTTATATATTCAAAATCACAATATTTTCGAATACCAAAAATAAAACGTTATGCTTTTTATGCACACGTATGTAAATTTTGAAATAAAGAAAAACTGATATTAAGGTATTATGTTAATAGGCCTTTAAATTAGTAATTTCATTTAGAAATTTATTTTTGATAACGCATACTGATAGTGGCATTATTACATTGAGTTTGGAAAGAGTATACTATGGGGGGGTATATGTAATCAAGTTTTTAACATGTATGTATATAAAGTGTACAAATGTATAAAAATGCTTTAAAAATATAATATGATTGAAGAAGAAGAAGAAGCTCTTACAAAAACGCTGGTCATACTTAAATATTTGTAAGTGGTCGATTGTATAAATTTGTAATATGTGTTATGTATTAAAACTCAAATATGTATAAAAACAATAGAAATATGAATTTTGTAATAAACGTATTGTAACTAAGGTGACCATATTTTTTTCCATGAAATCCGAGACGGTTTATAATGTGCATGAGAGCGGGGGAAGGGGTGGTGTTGAACATTTTTCAGTTCCAATTTTCTAGTTGAAATATATTTAAAAAAATATTGGTAATCAAAACATTTTGAAAAATCCGGGACAATTTGGGACAAAACACCTAAAACCGGGACAAATATTGCTTTTGGAAAAAGCCGGGACGCAAGGCTGTCCCGGCCAATCCGGGACGTATGGTCACCTTAATTGTAACAGAAAACAAAATTTTAAATAACAGTAATAATATTCAATGAAATATCAGCTTTACTAAATATAATTTTTATATTTGTGTCGGCCGAGGAATACTAAATATATTGCTCAACAATTTCAAAGTTCATAATTTCAAAAAGACTTGAAAGATCTAACCGAGGATTGAATTGCGACCGCAGCAGAAAATCAATAAAAATCCTAAATTCTATTGACATTACGTATATAAATGTTTGTTGCATTTGGATAGTCATCTACCAGAAATTATACAAAGTTAAAATTCGTACATGTAGACGACTGAAAACTTCTGAATACAAATCACAGATTATACATTTAATTTCACAACACATTTCAACCTTAATATTTAAAGGTTCGTTCAATTAAATTTTCATTTTCAACATATATAACATTATCTAAAAACTAGCAAAAGAATTCACCAAAACTATATAATATTCAATAATCAAAATAGACCTCTATCAAAGCACCATTCCAAACATTTTTTATTCGCTTATTCAAATCTATAAAATTTTAATAGAAACCATCACGTACTAAACTTTTTTATAGATAAAGTATCATCACCCAATAACCAGCACAGCTGACATCAAATTGGTCTGTTTTTTCTTCATAATTTATATAAAGTTCGCAAAAATAATGCTACAAAGTCATTATGAGATATTTCACAGCATTAGGCTATTACAATTAATATTAGTACCATTACAACTTTCGAACATACTCAAAAATATTCGACTAAGCAATAGATTTATTTTTAAGTATTTGACGATTAACATTTCTACACTTTAAACAACGTATTAATTAATTATATTTTACTTGTTGGTGAAAATTAAAATTCCATTTCGACAAGGTAACATTGTAAGTACGAAGAAACCATTTAACATATCGCGATGCTTGAAATTCGTTCTAACGTTTAAAACGTTTTATGAGACCAAAAGATCGAATTTCAGGCACAATACACTACAACATAGAACATTTGATTTACACTCAATTTCTTGATAGAATCATTGGTATGACTATGAAAGAAATTCAGAATATTCACAATACAAGATGAATTACGATTAGATTTTTGTAATTGTACGGACGTTGTCTAAAGTGTAATTTATATTGAAGTTTTTCCATCAATTATAATAGTTTACAGGCAAGCAATATAATCTATGGGTAAAAATTATAAACTGCAGCTGATGATATCAATTATTCTTTGTCTTGATGGAAATAAAAAATTTATAGATAACCAATTTTTAATAGTCTAAACAAATAATTTTGTATCCAATATATAATTCCATTAATTATTTCTTTTTAACTTGAGAACATTTCCTCTAACAATGAGAAATATGATATTTCAAATTGTTACTTCTTTGACAAAAGAATCTGTTATCACCAGCTATTTATCAAATATGTATCGAGCATATACTCAAAAATCCACCACTTAATTTATTAAAAAAATGTTTTTCGTTCTAAATCACTCACCCAGTCCTATAATTCTCCTCCCAATTCACTCATTATATCACCCGACATGATAGCATCCGTAGCACCGAAATCCGTTAACTCTTGCTCTATACTTGTTAATTGCAATGCTTTCTGGTGCTCCAATTCCGATAAATCATCTATGACACCATTGTCTATTGGTGTCATAGAATTCTTATAAGCCTCGACCGAGTTACCATTGATTAAGAAATCTCGGCTTCGATAAGTTGGGCTATATTGAAAGCTTCTATCACGCAAAGGCGTCGATGGAACAGATTTTGAGATCATTGAATCGAATTCTTTAAATTGTTGTGGTAACTGAAAATCTAAAGATATTTTGTTGTATGATATCGGCGTGCTAGGTACCGATCTGGACGCTATACCCTTAGAATCATCGCCGTCCATAATTGGAAAATTATTTTCTATGCTCATAGATCTTTTCAAAGATCTTATATCAGCAAAGTCTGTTTGAGGCAAAATTTGATTCATTTCCATTGCAGCATAAACATTTTCAGACTGATCAGACTCAACAATAGGAACGCTAAGATCGTCTTGGAAATTATTATTCAAAGTATTAGCACACATTATATCTGTAGTTGAATTTATCATATCTATGTAATTAGTATCAAAATCATTATATTCAGGTGGAACAGGTGTAGCACCTACTGAACTGCTGGCTGATGGATTGTAACTCATCATTTGCTGAGGAATGATGTTTTGCGGATACTGTGTGTTGAAGAATAATGGACTCTGACCAGGTGAAACCATACTTTTCATGTGAAGAGGAACAGATTGAGATCGAATGTTCATATTATTCACAGATAACATAGAAGCAGCAGCATCTATAAGGATAAATTATTATGTATGAGCCATTCGATGCATTTACACATAGTACAATATAGTGTTTTAAAGAAATCAATCGCAAGAATGACCATGATATCATAAACTAATGCCATATAGTTAATGTATTTGATTATAGGTCCAATAAGCCAATAAATTAAAAAAAAAAAAACTCCATATCAACCTGGAGCAATTACCAACAAATATTATAATTGATATGTTACTAATCGAACATGAGAATGAAAGAAATTTAATTACAAATTATATCAGGATAACTAAACTAAAAAATACTAACCAGTTTGTAAATTTTTGTTAGATTTCATCAACTTGTCAAACATAGATCTCTGCCTTAAAGCTGGCGTATTTCTTGGACTGACAAAAGGGCTTGCATTAGAACTCGCTGACTTAGGACTTGTATTACCAAATCCTGTTTTAGTATGAGGAGATAACGGTGACGATGGAATTGGCATAAAACTGCAGTTTTTTCTTCTAGTTGTTGGGCTTTGTGGAACTTCTTCTTTCATGGCACACACCGGATTACTATCAAAGCTTACATGTCTTCTTGCACTCAAGCCATTATTCATTTTAGTATTAGGTAAAGGTTTTAATAAATTATTTCTTCTTTGTGATAATATAGCTAAACTTTCAGATGCAGAGATGTGATTAAAATTTAGATTATCCTGTACTGCTTGAGTATATTTCTTAATATATGTAGGAGGTTTATCGTTATTTTCAGGTTTTGATCCTTGCATATTTTTTTCAAGAAGGAAACGTAATTGAGAAAGTCGGTCTTGAGCAGATAATGTTTTACCTGAAGTATTGTTTAGTTGTACACCAACATTTGATTTAACAGAATCTTGGCTTAACCGGTCATTTAAAGCATCTAAGTTTAACTTATCATCACTTTTATTATTAGGTGGCTGCTCTAATTTAGATGCAGAAGATGAATCTTGTTGAAAATATTGCAATAACTCCTCTTCTTGTTCTTGACTATTATCACCACCATGTAAGTAACCATCTAGGGCATCTTTATCCAAACTACATATACTAATAACACGTTCTCTAGGAATTTCAGTTGGTAAGATATCCAATGTATTTTGACTTGTTGCTTCATCCTGTTCTATTTTAATTTTAACATCATTGTTATCAACACAATCTATAACAGACTCGGTAATTATTTCAGGAATGATTTGAGAACCATTGGTGGGTACAATAGCAGGAAGTTCTTCTTTCACTTCATTTGTTATTTGATTCAAAACCTGCTCACCCGGAGCAATGATATTAGAATAAACAGAATCAGCTTCATTTAATCCCAATCTATTATTTTGTATGTCAGTGGTATGAAAATCAAATGTATTGATTACACAAGTAGAAGTTTTAGTTGGCATGTCATTATATTTTTGAGGCATAATATTTGATTGAGAATTAAATAACAGATTAGGAGTGCTTTCACTTGTACCTAAATTTCCTAAAGAATCTTTCAGTGACATATTATTCATTGTGCCACCAGATGCAAAATTATTTTGTCCAATGAGATCTCCACTGCTAAACCTTCTAGATAAAGTATTCCGTCTCTTTTTAGTGTTATTACATTTTTTAATATTCTTCCTTTTATTTAAACCATTTAATTCAAGAAGATTATCTTGAGTTTCATCTTTGATATTGATGGTATCACAGTTAATATTTGTACCAGTCAGGTTATTATTAGACAAGTTCATTGGCATAATATAGTTAGATTTATCGTCAACTAGATTTGTACATGTTTTCATTATATTAATTCGATCTTTTAAAGGCTTATCAGCTAAATTTAATGCTATATCACTGCATTCTACAGGTAGTCCGCTGACTCCTGCCACTGGGTCCAGTTCATTAAATCCCATTGGATTTATTTTTGTACTATAACAAGTGTTATATGATTTATCATGCTCAAGGGGTGCAAGATTAGAATCCTTTATTAACTCTACATTTTCATTTGCAAGTTCAGACTTTACCATTTGCTGATTGAGATCTTTTATCATATCAGGAGCAATACAAGTGGACACATTGTTATTTCTATTCACAAAAGTCTGAGAATTAGAATTCTGCATTTTGTTTTTCTTAGCTCTAGGTGACTTCAATGGAGGTAGCATGCGTTTTTTTCCTTCTCTGTGGTCCCGATTATTTAGTTTAGATTGAGTGGAATCAGATGGTGCATCTAAAATATTAGAGAAATTAATTGAGTGAATATAGTTTTGATAAAATATAGTAAGATATATAACTATAGCCATTAATGTTAAAAAAGATTTATTATTAATAGGGCTTGTAACAAATATGGGTAATGTTTTACCTTTGCGCTGTGCAACCAATTTATTGATAAAATCTGCAAAGCCCTCTATATTTGAAAAACTCTGATGCAAAGTCTTTTCAGCCCATGGTTGAATAATCGACCACACATCATTTTGATTTGAAGTTGAGTCATCAGGCTATCGGGATTAAAATATTACATATAAATACTAGATATCTGTAGTAAAAATACTGTACTTCTTTAAATATATACATTAATATGAAGTGCATTAATTAGCATTGTCAAAGCAACAAATTTTCAATGCATAATGCAGTGCATAAATAACTTAATGAGCAACAATCTGATAAATACCTCAGCACTTAAGTCAGGAAGCATTGGAGGAGCTAAACTTCGAGCTTTTCTCATGGCTGCATAACAATATCTATAAAATACAGTATTAAATGTAATGATAATGTAATATAATCATATTTATGTTGAATTAGAAAACAAAAAAATATTAATACATATTATTACCTAGAATGGCCACGTGTTCCAAGTCTTCTAGGTCTCAGATTTGGAAATACTTGTTTCATGACTTTGCCAAAATCAGCCGTAGAAAGTGGTTTTAAATTAGCTGTTGTACAGTAGGCTCTGCAATAATATATCAACATTAAATTGTACATTAGTAATATGACAAAAAAAACTATGAATAGTTCAAAACAAGGGTACACTTTAATGGCATTGCTAAAGTTTTTATATTAACCATCACAATATTTATATAGCATTATACTTATGATTGCAAGTTATTAATACCTTTATTATTTATTAGCAAACAATTATGCAATAGATATATTAATTATAATTACTATTGCAAACTTAAATAGTATAAGCACACATTTATAATATGAATAATCGAATACTTACAGATATTCATCATAAACATCTTGTTTTGGCACAGAGACCTCAGGATCATGTTCTAAATGTGTTCGAACCCATGCGGCAGTAGTGCTTATTTCATGCCTTGTCCCAAGGGGATTCGGAGGATGTCTTAAAGGATCCTGTGTTGATGGCTGACCACCGGGAAGTTTCAGGTACAATAGTAATCGCTCTGGACCAGATAAATGTGATATCTGTTCCAAAATATTAAGGATATTTTGCCGCGACTGATCACTGAAAAAGAAAAGATGATGAATTTTAGATTATGCTTTAGAACAAATTTGTGAGTGATATTGTAATGCACAGTAATACATATATGAAAGGACATCGGTAAGGAAAGAAATTAATTTTTAGGTATATATTAACTGAAATTTTATTCAGCTGTTTCAGACAAGAGTATATAATTTAGCAATATCTGTTTTTATGTATATAAAATGTTATTATGAATTACACAGATTACAATTTAAGATAATAATTGATAGGACCTTGCTACAAAACTATAACAAGCAAATTTAATTTTGTACAAAATTCTAGTTGTAGCGAGTAATGAAGCAGTAAATCTGGTGAAATTCTTTTTAACACAATAATATAATATTTTTTTTTACAAAAATTGTGTATGGTGCATCTCTAAGTAAACTAATAAAGTATATTGCCATCTAACCTTAATGTATTATCGACCAACTGTTGTATTTTGTCCATTTTCTCCCGTTTAATTTCACAAGCAGCCCCAGCTGCTCCTAAAATATTCTTTACATCTTCCATGAGATTGTTTATTTAAAACACATACTTCCTTTTCGTCAAAATACTTTGCTTCTTACGAATTGCCCATGTTCAACAAAGTGCTGTCTTTTTGACAGCTATCAACTCCAATAATATACTTTATATACAATGTCATATTATTCGAAAAACTCATCCGCGAACCTTATAGACGTATGTTTCACATATTAAAAATACCACATTGTGAAAAATAGTCAATTTACCAATCATGACTCTATGCAACATAAATGTACAGAATAAATAACATCACATATCTTAACAATGGTCAGATAAACCATCCATTTTCTTGACGTTCGATCAGCTGTTGTAATTAGTGGTGCCAGATTCTAATAAGATTCCCATCAGGCGTGCATTTTATTCAGCATCAAAATGATAATGGTGCTTGATTTAATTTGTTTTATAGCATTCTAAATTATTAATATCTTTCTACAATAGTAAAATATGATATCTTCTTATTAAATGTGACTTTCGAAATTATATAACTGCTCGAAACCGCTCAGAATCCTTGTAAAGTTTACATAGACTAAAAATCATACAAAATTTTTGGAGTTTTAGAACTGAAACATCGAATAAAAAGGAATTTACAACGACCAGAAATGTATTCAACTGGTTTATTTCTTGAATAAATTTTATATTACTATATTATCTAGTGGTTAATGCAACCCTTGAAGCGGCCATTTTTTATGCAATTTGTCCAAAATTCTTAAAAAATATGTTTCAAAATCACAAGAAATGTTAGTGATCATACTGCTATGTTATTATTTTGATTATATTTAGAAATACACAATTTATAATATTTAAAAATCTTTATATCCAAAATTTGGAAATTATTTTTCAAATATTTAAGTTGGTCACCATTGTTCAATGCATATTCTTCGCAAAACGTCTTCGTTATGTAATTTATCCAAAATTCTTAAAAAATATCTTTCAAAACCACAAAAAATGTTTGGGATTATACTGCTACATTACTTTTTCAAATATATTGTATATCTACACTATTTAAATCTTTAAAAATCTTTATTTCTGAAATTTGGAAATTATTTTTCAAATACTATGTTGGTCACCATTGTTCAATGCATATTTTTTGGAAAACGTCAAAAAAAAATATATACATATTTCAAAACCACAAGGACTGTTTGTGATTTGATTGCTATATTCCCACTAAACCAGTTACGTAATATTACGTAATTTTTATGTAAGAAATATGTAATCTACATTACGTAATTAGATATTACGAAAGAATTACATAAATATTACGTAATTTTCCTGAAAAAATATTACGTAAGAAAAATGAAGATTTTATTTCATATATATTACATAAACTAGTGCGGCGCATGGCATCGTGCCTTTAGGCAAATTGTTGGAACTTCCCGTACTAATAATTATTTTGTTTTAAAAAGATTAACATTTTTGAAAAAATTTTACTTTGAAAAAATTAGATTTTTGAGAAACTATAAAATTTTGACAAAAAATTACCTTTTTTGAAAAAAAGACTTTGAAAAAAAAATAATTGCTTTATTTTGAAATATTTTGAAAATTCTTAACTTTTTTTCAAAGTAATCGTACTGCATTAACTGCATAGAGACGAAATAAAAATGGCTCGCGAATTTTCGGAATATTTCGTTTCATGAACGAAGCTGTCAACCAATGAACGGCGCTAAGTGACATAAGTACCGTTATGTCTGCAAGGAGACTGCCGTGCCGAGCCGCCGGCTACTAGCGGCTACTAGCACTAGGCAAGGATTATGGGAGTACGACTCGCCATGCGTTTTAAATTAAGTTTTGTGTTTTGTAGTGTCTTATCAATATTTTTAATTTGCTAATTAAATGTGAAAGTGATATTAAATATGTGAAGATATATGTTTATTATAAATATATTCTAAAGCCTCTTAAATTACATGAATTACTTAAATCTTTACTCTAAAACGCTCCATTAACCTAAAAATTAATCGTGTGTGTTATTAATTTTTTTCTAATAATAATTAGATATAAAAAGAATTTTGTTTCAAATGTAACGGTATTCATATTCTAAATACTATTTTATTGTTAATATAAATTCAGTGACAAATTATATATAACAGAATCACTTGGCCTTTTGAAAACCATTTGCTTTGTGTAAGTATATAAAAAATATATGTATCAAAAGTTAAATAGAAATTATTACCATGTTTTTTATTTCAGGTGAAAATCGAAAGCTAATAATTTATATCCGAGATGCATTTTTTCATCACAAATGGGCCATGAAATAGATATCGAGAATGCTTTTGTAGAGAAGACATCATAGACTTATACCACATTTAGTTTTAACAGAAGATACGACAGTTCCTAATTACATAATATTTTCCATGAAATAGTTAGTGAAAGAACTTATGAAGACTTTGTAAAGGATACTTCGATGATTTTTATTTCGAGTTTAATTTTACTTATCATTTAATTTTATTTATCATTTATCATATTGTATATTTTTCCATTTGCCATGAAAATGTTGATCAATATGTTATATGTAATTACATTATTTTATAAAAATTGTGAATTATTATTTATTACTTTATGGATTTGCTAATGTTTAAATTGTGTATATATGTCGAAAAAATAAACATGCCATTTAAATGTGCTTTTTCGTTCATTTTTCAGATAGTGTATATATATATATATATATATATATATATATATATGTGTGTGTGTGTGTGTGTTTATATGTATGCGTGTGTGTACATACATATATATTATATATGTATGTACATACTGTGTGTGCATACTCATTTCTATGTTCATGAATGTGTGTGTTCATATATACACATATGTGTGTATGTGTGTGTTCATATATACAGATATGCTGTGTGTATATATGTATGTGTGTAAAAAAGGGCCCCTCCACGTCATTTTTTTTTCAAAAATTACGTAATTATTATGAAATATTTTCGTAATCCCATATTACGTAATCCACATTACTTAAAATAGGCGAAATTATGACACATATCTTACATTAATCTTACGTAAAAATGACATAAGTATGTAACTTTTTTGCGTAAAAATTACATAAATATTACGTATTTTGGCTTAGTGGGTTACTATTTTAAATACATTTAGAAATACATTATTTATAACACTAAAAAATCTTTCTTTCAAAAATTTGGAAATTATTTTTCAAATATTAAGTTGGTCAGCATTGTTCAATGCATATTTTTTGGAAAACGTCATCGTTATGCAATCTGTCCAAAATTCTTAAAAAATATCTTTCAAAACTACAAAGAATGTTTGTGATTTTATTGCTATATTACTATTTCAAATATATTTAGAAAAACAATATTTATAATATTTAAAAATCTCTCATTCAACAATTTGAAAATTATTTTTCAAATGTGAAGTTGGCCACCATTGTGCAATATATATTTTTTGTTAAACGTCAAAGGATATTCGAAAATTCAGAAATAAGTGCAGTGATTATTTATTATTATAAATATGTAAATAGAACTAAATTGTAACTCTACATTTATGGCACAAAAATTGCAGAAATAACCACAATTTGGTATAAACTGTTTTTCTTCAACTTCAACTGTTTTCCATGGAGTTTACTCCTACCAAATTTATTACGTAAGCATCAATCAAGTAAAAAGATCTCCATTTTTCTTTTGCATTGTTTACATCTAATTTTAGTTTTTGCCATAACAATTTAGATCAATTTTGTACCGTATGTAACTTACCAAAAATAACTTTCAAAATTCAGACGTTTTTTTCCACTATAAAATGTTAATGTAAAATAAAATCCATATCAATTGATATTGTAATACGCAGCCAAATACGCATAATTATTTGTTTGCGGTATTGGTTTGGCATAGGTTAAATACAGGTCAAGGATATTTTCGACTATCTTTCTCAATGAAGATTCTTATATTAAGAGCAATGTGTTTTTTCATCAACAAATTTTATGCACATAAACAGAAGCGAGCACCAATTAATTTTTAGTTGAAATCCATAAAATGTATTCAGGAAGTAATCATAAAAATGACCATAGGAAAGGAAACTATGATAGTAATGGTAATAATAAAATATATTCAAAATTAAGTATAAAAAACAAAATAAAAAATATACTTAATTTTCTATTCCTTGGAGTATTTATTGTATGATATAGAATAAACTACTCCGAAAGAGGCTCTTCCCCATCCTCAACACATTTATTTTATAAATTGATTATTAATATTATTATATTTTAATATCATGTATATTTATAAATATATATAAATATATATATATATATATATATATATATATTAACAAAGTCTAATAATAGGGCATTACCATATCCTGATACCATAGATTATTGAATTTTCTATTTTAACACTACTTCAGTCAGTACTTTCTACTTGTTATAATTTTTTTAATTCATTTGTTTTAATTTTTAAATTATTTTTAGTTTCCACTGAATTAAAGCTAGGTTTATAGACGAAACGTAAGGATGAAAAATAAATTCTTAAAAAAAGTTGATGTTTTTTAATTGATGCTCTGCCCAATGTTTAGACTTTGCTGATACCCATGTCAACATCAAACTCAGGATCATACAAAATATATATTTATATATTTATATATAATTATATTTAATATGATATAAAGTGTTTATTACTTCTTTATCTCTATTTCCATAGCATTTGATAACAAGATGAGCGTGATAAGAAAATTAAATAGATAATAAAATAATCCGCAAATGAAAGATAAACTATTAAAAACAATACCTACTAATAACAATCAGCATCAGGCAGAAAGAACAAATAACTCGTCAAAATAAAATCAAATTAATATTCAAATTAATTATCAAAATAAAATGCTGTTTTATTAAATTGTTTAGATCCGCATAGATTATTCAGTCTATTAGAAAATCAGTCACAATAAAGAAAAAAAAACTTCGACAAGATCAAGATTCAAGATTCGACAAGAAAAAATCGACAAGATTTGTATTTGCCATACTTTAAATTGGCGTTTGATTAAATTGCTGAGATCCACATAGATTATTCAGTCTATTAGGAAATCAGTCACAATAAAGGAAAAATTTCTGATTTTCATTATTGTAATGCAATCGACAAGATTTGTATTTACCTATTGGCGTTTTATTAAATTGCTGAGATCCACATAGATTATTCAGTTTATTAGGAAATCAGTCACAATAAAGACAAAATTCCTTAAAATCGACCAGATTTGTATGCAGCTTATATTACATTACCGTTTCTAATAAATTGCTGAGATCCACATAGATTATTCAGTCTATTAGGAAATCAGTCACAGTAAAGGTAAAA